CTATCTATATATTGTATCATTGTATTGCGTTCATCAAAGTCAGGTAAAAGGCATCACGACATTAATTGACTGTTAGGCGGTACGAAGTTCGCGGGGTCAACTAGTATTGTATAATAATTGCTATCATCTGCAACATATGTAAATTGTCAATGAAAAGAAGCCGAACAAAATATTTAGATTATTCCTGTACAGTACCTACATTATCAGTCTGTAAACATCATTGTTATGACTCGAGTGATATAAAACAAAGTCAAAAATAATAACATTTCTATCGAATGTATTGTTTACAAAGTAATGTCTTATTCTAATCAATACAATTTCTGGTTGAATTCTGTTAAAACGTTTTCCCAAAATTGTACTTCCTCGTCGTCCGGCGCGTGACCAGGTTTGAGCTCGTTGCCAATGTCTAGGTAATCCTTATTGGTTACTGAATACGGAGTCCAAGTGACGCCCAATGAATCGTCAGGGGTGGGGTTTCTGAAATGTTGAGAATATGGTTCAATTATTGTGACTGATTTATATCGAACGGGGAACTTTTCACACACAACCGGCTCGACCGGAGTGATACCACGGTCTCACAGAAAACAGACTTGAAACAACGCTTGTGTTGTGTTTCGTGTCTTGTCTTCCCTAATCTCCTCGATCCTGGAATCCCTAACAATTCTCACATTCCTAAGCCCCAAAAGTCCGGTGACGTACTTGTAACGCCTCTGGTGTTCCAGGTGTCCATGGGCGACGCCGATTGCTTAACATCAGGTGATCCGTCTGCTCGTTTACCCGCTTATCCCATAAAAAAATGCTTGGCAAAACAATATTTCGAATTCATATTAGCTGGCATAATATGCTTTATATGTATAATATGCTTGGCATTACTAGACATTACCTTTTGACCATTATTCTGAAACTGAAAAATCACACTTCTTTAAGGTTTATTAATCTGCGAAATTATGTTTTTATTAAAACTGTACACCTACTCACCCAAATTTAGCGAAGTTTGTCCAAAGTTTCGTGACCTTTTCCACATGTTGGAATGTTTTCGAATTCCTGTCTATTATTGGTGAAGTATTCGGCGAAAACAAATAAAGTAAGTCATCTGCGTGAGCTACCACTGGTTTGTCCTTAATTAAATCACCTACGCCCATCATCTGAGATATCATATTCAACTCTGATACGCAAGTGAACTTGTAAAAATATGTCTTGTTCTTCTTAGATCGAGCACACAATTTAATCCATCTGTTTGCAGGAAACACAAATAGATCTGCTGCATAAAATTTCTCCAACTTCTCCCAATCATCTGGTACCGAAATCGAATTCTTGAAATAGTATTCTCGTATTCTCTTGCCAAGCTCCAGCTGGTCGTTAGTGGACAATGTGAGAGACATTGGATACGAAATGAAAAACTGTGGAAAGTTTCTAGCTTGTTCTAAACTTGTAGAGACATCTCCAAAGACAGCCAAGCTCAATATACCCTCAGCCGCTGTGTATCCTGTCATAATATCAACTCCTTCGTGAATACCATTCGATACAGAATCAAGTACATCTCCGCAGAAGAATCGTTCGTTGTTTCCAAACTGTTTTTCAGCAGCCACACTAAAGTATAACTCAGTGTAGGTTCGTGCTTTCTCTGAATATGTTATCGGTACAGCAGCTTTAATAAGAGCCTCGAGAGGTTGTTCTTTTAGGAACTCGTATACTTGTTTAGGATCATCGGAGTAGAAACCTAATTTCCTTGCCAACGCAAAGCCTCTTTCCCGAGGTTTGTACGCTTGAGCCCAATACCCGACATTGGTGCCACTTTGAGCTATCGCTCTCCGGAACAATCCTTTGGACATTGGTGATATCAAGTGATAAGTGACACTGGCCCCCCCAACGCTCTCACCGAAAATTGTTACATTGTTTGGGTCACCTCCGAAGTTGGCAATATTTTTGTTCACCCACCTGAGGGCAGCTACCTGATCCTTCATTCCAGCATTTCCAGGCACATCTTCAGTGTCTAAGCAGAGGAAACCAAGAACTTCAAGTCGGTAATTGAACGTGACAAGGATAACATCTTGTCTTACGAGAAACTTGGGGCCGTACACGTCGTCATCACCAGCCCCAGATATGAAACCTCCTCCATGAATCCAGAACATGACTGGTAAAGGTTTGTCAGGTTTGATGCTTGGTGTATACACGTTGAGGTAGAGGCAGTTCTCAGAACCACACACTTTTCCTTTTTCAAAGAATGCATCATATTGGTAGCATTTTGAACCGAATTGTTTCGCGCTGCGGACATCTTTCCAGGGCTTTGGCGGTTGAGGGGCCTGTGAAACAATCAATAAATATAAATTCTATAGGAATTTTTCAAATCGGATCTGTAGTTCCTAAGATTAGCAAGTTAAATCTAACTCTTTATCTTTTTGATAATAAACGTATAAGATTATTGATAACAGACCTTGAACCTCAGTTCTCCAAGTGGAGGTTGTGCGTACGGGATCCCCTTAAAACTGTAGTAGGAGCCGCCATACTCGTTCTGTACCACCTCTCCCTCCAACCAGCCCTCGTTTACTTGAACTTGCACCATCGTCAATGCAACATCCAATACCGCATAGAATTGGTGTCAATTTATAACTGCATGCTATTTCAGTAATCTCTAATTATATATGTTTTGTTATCAAAACTTTTTAATTATTTATCATTCGATTATTTTGATTAACTGATTACTTTCCTCGGTAATATTGAGTTATGAGAGGTTCTGTATTTGGTTACCACGTGGAGACATTAAAGAAGTATATAACCTTTGGTCCTTGTTGACGAAAACAAAATTTAGCATGATGCCACGCCTAACTCTGTACCGTCTTTACCATAGGGCACTCGGGGCCTGGGCCCAAGGCTCCCATCATCAAGGGGCCCCGAAGGACAGGACACACCCGCTACGTGTTGCGCGGCAACTACCGTAACGGTTCGATTCTGGCAAGTAGCAAAAATTTATAACCACACATTGGTATTTCGGGTCTGTGTGATTTGTATGTACTTGTTTCACCTCATCCACGAAACAGAACGAAATCCGAGTGCAGATTAGATAAAAAATCAATCAATAACGAGTATAATATTAAGGTACGTGACATACCTACCTGCAGCTGTTACTGCAGTTATTTCTTATGAAAATGATTTTATGAACGGTAGTGATTGAAACTAAAGTGTGGGAGAGCCATGCTTCGGCTCGACCGGAGTGATACCACGGCCTCACAGAAGACCGATGTGAAAGAACAATTGCGTTTGTTTCGTCGTGTGAGTAAGGTTACTGAAGGGCCAATTATCAAATTCCAACTCTCAAAAGGCCAGTAACGCACTTGTGACATCTCTGGTGTTTTGGGTATCCATAGGCAACTCGAATTGCTTACCATCGAGTGATCTGTCTGCTTACCGGCTTATTACAAAAAAAAACTGTAGGCAAATACTTAAAATTGATTCAGTCCTCATGCTGCATGCATCTAAGAATTTAAAAATCCTTAACCGTAATACTGCAACAGACACATTACACATACATAATCTCACGCCTGTCTCCTATGAGGGTAGGCAGAGACCAGAGACTTAGAGTAACTCTTAAATCACTCTCAGAAACTGTTTCGGTTTTAAATTAAATAATATCTCGGCCTGAGACGCATTATTAGGTCTGATGTGAAATTTTACAAGTTTAGAGGAGAGCCAAAAGAAAAATAATTTCAAAATCGTGTCAAAAATTGTCTTCATTATCGAATAGGCTAACAAAAATACTATTATGTTTTAGATAATCGTCTACCTTTGTATCAGTATTCAGATAAAACCAGTAGCAGTAAAATAAACCACATCTTATGCCTCGCATCTTTTTTCTACTTTTCAATATACTATTCAATCCTGACTATCCCTCTTACCTTCGCGAACGTTTTTCCTTTGCCCGCCCTTTCCCGATCCCATCTTAAATGTAATCTTTCTGTCGTCTCACACAATACTGACTTTTACTCCTATTCATTCACTGTTCATGCGGTGCGACTTTGGAATTCCCTATCACCTAACATCCATCCCGATCTTTAAAAGACTCGTAAGGGAGCATTACCTTTCCTCATAAACTATTAATGTTTAATTGGTGACTTGTTCGTCTACGAGTCACTTAGGGGCCAGTAGAATACCTGTCCTGTACCCTGTCTTGCACATGCTGAACTGGTCCCATGTCACGACAGACTTGGGACATGAACATGTATCCACCAGTACATACTAATGCAAAGCATTATTTGTACAGTCACTTGTTTTTTGAAAGATGAGGTAGTTCTTATTCTAAGTATTCTGATAATGCCAACGGATATGCCCTTTGAATTTAAATGAATTCAATTCCTGATTCGTCTTCTCTTCGCCATGACGATTAACAAATCACAGGGCCAAGCATTGACTATTGGTGGCCTCAATTTAGAAAATGCATTTTTTTTTTCATTGTCAATTGTACGTGGCGTGTTCACGTATTGGTAAACCACCCGCTTTATTTGTTCTTGCGCCTGACAAAAAAACAAAGAATGTCGTTTACCACAAGTCATCACATGATACACAACACACTTGAATTTAATAAAAAATAATCTGACACGTGTTGAAGTAATTAATTTTAATTTTTATTCTCTTTCTGTATGCATTGTTCATAATAATAAAATACTTCATATATCTATGTTCATATTTATACTGTATCATTGTATTACGTTCATCAAAGTCTAAATTAGTTCAGCTAAAAGGCAACACGACATTTATTAACTGTTACGAAGTACGGGTACGAAGTTCGCCGGGTCAACTAACATTGTATAATAAATGCTATCATCTGCAACATATGTAAATTGTCAATGAAAAGAAGCCGAACAAAATATTTTGATTATTCCTGTGCAGTACCTACATTATCAGTCTGTAACCATAATTGTTAAGACTCGAGTGATATAAAACAAAGTCAAAAATAATAACATTTCTATCGAATGTATTGTTTACAAAGTAATGTCTTATTCTAATCAATACAATTTCTGGTTGAATTCTGTTAAAACGTTTTCCCAAAATTGTACTTCCTCGTCGTCCGGCGCGTGACCAGGTTTGAGCTCGTTGCCAATGTCTAGGTAATCCTTATTGGCCACTGAGTACGGAGTCCAAGTGACGCCCAATGAATCGTCAGGGGTTGGGTTTCTGAAATATTGAGAATGTGGTTTAATTATTGTGACTGATTTATATCGAACGGGGAACTTTTCACACACAACCGGCTCGACCGGAGTGATACCACGGTCTCACAGAAAACAGACGTGAAACAACACTTGTGTTGTTTCTTGTCCTCCGTCTTCCCTAATCTCCTCGATCCTGGAATCCCTAACAATTCTCACATTCCTAATCCCCAAAATTCCGGTGACGCACTTGTTACGCCTCTGGTGTTCCAAGTGTCCATAGGCGACGCCGATTGCTTAACTTCAGGTGATTCGTATGCTCGTTTACCGGCTTATCCCATAAAAAATACTTGGCAAAATAATATTTCAAATTTATATTAGCTCAATTTAATATGTTTTGTCTCGTTATTTGACTTTAACTATGGGCTGAGCATATTGTTATTTTTTTCATCATATTGAAGTCGTAGAGTTTGCGATACTAAGTTTATAGCCATATCTGCAGTGTTTAACTTCCATCAACATTATGTTCGTGGCATTACTAGACATTAGCTTTTGACCATTATTCGATAACCGAAAAATCTGATTTCTTTAAGGTTTAAACTGTGAATTTACTCACCCAAATTTAGCGAAGTTTGTCCAAAGTTTCGTGACCTTTTCCACATGTTGGAATGTTTTCGAATTCCTGTCTATTATTGGTGAAGTATTCGGCGTAAACAAATAAAGTAAGTCATCTGCGTGAGCTACCACTGGTTTGTCCTTAATTAAATCACCTACGCCCATCATCTGAGATATCATATTCAACTCTGATACGCAAGTGAACTTGTAAAAATATGTCTTATTCTTCTTAGATCGAGCAACCAATTTAATCCATCTGTTTGCAGGAAACAGGAATTGGCATGCTGCATAAAATTTCTCCAACTTCTCCCAATCATCTGGTATCGAAATTGAATTCTTGAAATAGTATTCTCTTATTCTCTTGCCAAGCTCCAGCTGGTCGTTAGTGGACAATGTGAGAGACATTGGATACGAAATGAAAAACTGTGAAAAGTTTCTAGCTTGTTCTAAATTTGCAGAGATATCTCCAAACACAGCCAAGCTCATTATACCCTCATCCGCTGTGTATCCTGTCATAATATCAACTCCTTCGTGAATGCCATTCGATACTGAATCAAGTACATCTCCGTAGAAGAATTGTTCGTTGTTTCCAAACTGTTTTTCAGCAGTGACATTAAAATATATCTCAATGTCTCTTACTTTCTCTGAATATGTTATCGGTACAGCAGCTTTAATAAGAGCCTCGACAGGCTGTTCTTTTAAGAACTCGTATACTTGTTTAGGATCATCGGAGTAGAATCCTAATTTCCTTGCCAACGCAAAGCCTCTTTCACGAGGTTTGTACGCTTGAGCCCAATACCCGACATTAGAACCACTTTGAGCTATCGCTCTCCGGAACAATCCTTTGGACATTGGTGATATCAAGTGATAAGTGACACTGGCCCCCCCAGCGCTCTCACCGAAAATTGTTACATTGTTTGGGTCACCTCCGAAGTTGGCAATATTTTTGTTCACCCACCTGAGGGCAGCTACCTGATCCTTCATTCCAGCATTTCCAGGCACATCTTCAGTGTCTAAGCAGAGGAAACCAAGAACTTCAAGTCGATAATTGAACGTGACAAGGATAACATCTTGTCTTACGAGAAACTTGGGGCCGTACACGTCGTCATCACCAGCCCCAGATATGAAACCTCCTCCATGAATCCAGAACATGACTGGTAAAGGTTTGTCAGGTTTGATGCTTGGTGTATACACGTTGAGGTAGAGGCAGTCCTCAGAACCACACACTTTTCCTTTTTCAAAGAATGCATCATATTGGTAGCATTTTGAACCGAATTGTTTCGCGCTGCGGACATCTTTCCAGGGCTTTGGCGGTTGAGGGGCCTGTGAAACAATCAATAAATATAAATTCTACGGCATCTTTTCAAATTGGATCTGTTTTTACAATTTTTTAAGATTAACGCGTCATAACTCTTCATCTATTTGATAAAAGGTATAAGATTATTGATAACTGACCTTGAACCTCAGTTCTCCAAGTGGAGGTTGTGCGTACGGGATCCCCTTGAAGCTGTAGTAGGAGCCGCCATACTCGTTCTGTACCACCTCCCCCTCCAACCAGCCCTCGTTTACTTGAACTTGCACCATCGTCAATGCAGCGACATCCAATACCGCATAGAATTGGTGTCAATTTATAACTGCATGCTATTTCAGTAATCCCTAATTATATATGTTTTGTTATCAAATTGTTTTAATTATTTATCATTTGATTCTATTGATTAACTGATTACTTACCTCGGTATCATTATAGAAGAATATAACCTTTGGTCTTTGACGACCAAAACAAAGTTTATCACGATGACATTTCAATTATAAAACTGTTGTTTTTATTTTACACGCGCCTAACTGTGCCAGGGTCTATCCTCAGGGGGGCCCAGAAGGACAGAAGGACAGGACACACCCGCTACACATTGCGTGGTAACTACCATAACGGTCCGATTCCCGCACGGAGCAAATTTTTGTATGCACAAAATGGTGTTTCGGGTCTGTGTGTCATTGAACATGTATACATACATGTTTGTAAACTCATCCACTGTACAGGAGGAAATCCTAGTGTAGGGCAACGTTAAAAGTAACAAACATTCCAAAAGCACCTAGAATTATTATTGTGACCCTAAGGGTGTGGTCAAAGACGGCCCTGGCTAAAATAATTGTTATTTTTACTGCAGATTAGATAAAAAATCAAACAACCACGAGTATAATTAAGGTACATGACATAACTGTCTGTTACTGCAGTTATTTCTTATGAAATGGATTTTTTGAACAGTAGTGATTGAAACTAAACTAACGTGTGGGAAGGCCATGCTTCGGTATGAATGAGCCGGCTCGACCGGAGTGATACCACGGCCGAGCAGGAAACCGACGTGAAACAATACTTGTGTTGTGTTTCGTCGTGTGAGTGAGGTTATCGGAGGCCCAATTACCATCTAGAGGTCCAATCTTGGGGAGATTTCCCGAATCCCCAACAATCCTCAAATTCCTAATTCCCAAAAGGCTAGGTAACGCACTGGTAACATGTCTGGTGTTTTGGGTGTCCATAGGCGGCGTTGATTGGATACCATCAAGTGATCCGTATAATTCATACAAAAACTTGTCGTTTAATACTTGCCATTAGTTCAGTCTTCATGCTGCTTTTGAGAATTTCAAAATCCTTAACCGTAATTCTAAATCAGACACATACCCTCACGCCTAACCCTAACCTAACCTAACCTCATGCCTGTCACCTATGAGGATAGGCAAAGACTAATAGACTCAGAGTAACACTAAAATCGCTCTCAGAAACTACTATATAAATAATTTCACTTTGTTCGAAGACGGAATGGTTTTCAATCACTAAAATATGGGAGAGTAAGTAATAGGATGATCGCCCCTCCCCCACCCCTTAAAAAGGCACCATGATGTCAGACTGCCTCATTGACCGAGTGGTCGCAAGTGCGACTGCCGAGCAAGGGGTCTCGGGTTCGATTCCCGGGTCGGGCAAAGTATTACTGGGCTTTTAAAAATCTCAGTAGTAGCACGGAGTCTGGAAAAATGTGCCCGGTATATGGCAATAGGCTCACCCCCTATTACATGGGACTCATAACATAAATAGTGAAAAGTGGGTGTTACATTGTACAGTGGCATTAAGTGCCGAAATGTGCACCTCTGCTTACCCCTTCGGGGATAAAAAGGCGTGATGTTATGTTATGTTATGATGTCATACTACTACACTCTAACTAATACATAAAGTCACCGTAATTCATTTTTAATTGACTCAACACCTAATTAGACATAAAAACCATGACAAACTGCATTCGAATAAGCCTTGAAATGCTAAAACGAATAACTATCGTTAACGCAAAAGTAATATTAACAGCTAAGAACATTTCACTAACAGATCCTGAACAGTCCTGTACGTGGTACATGGTTTACGAAATGGAAGGAAAAATTGTAACTATGACTATGGATAAGCCACCAAATATAGTTCGAAGTGAAATTTTATTAGACAATTTTATTGAAAAAGATTTACAATCTGCCTTCAAGCCGTTACATTACATGCAAAGCTTACTCATTTGTTCCAAGTACACCATTAAAGACAATTTCATTACTGCTAATAGTTTCATGTATGATTTCATTGGAGTTTTCGGTTTTGTAATATGTCGCTCTATCAATTTGTACAACTTGGTCATTCTCATGGGAAACTGGAACAATATTATTTTTTTCCTTAATTGGAGCGGTTTGTTTGACTTTCTTAGCTATACCATTGGGTTTCTTTTAAATTACTACATCAACATCAAATTCTGTGATAGCAATATTCTTGTTATTACAAAAATTCAGCGTGTGTTCAGGGTTCTTAAAATTGCCTCTAGTGATCTCAAAAGAGTGACTGTTTTCAACTGGTTGAGTGTTACAATTATCAATGCTGTAATTATTATTTCCATCTTGGTCGTCTCCTATATTTTCTTCCCAAATGTTAAATTTTCCGATGTGGTCTATTTCTTCTTTAGTATGACTTTTGACATAAATATGCTGTACTTTACTTTTATTATCAAACTGTTGTCAATGACACTCTGTGTTTGGACTGAAGATGTGCGCAAATCTGTTAATTCTTACAAAGATTGTTATTGGAAATGTATGTTTGATGTTTACATGGATATGTTTACAGTTTATGAGATTGTCGTTAACACATTTGGATATTTGGTAAGATATTTCACTTACTCCACCTGTTCATTGTCTTTACCTTTTTCTCATACCCTAATCATGTGTGTTTATGCCATCAGTTTAATTTTCTCTCTTTATTTCTTCATCAACTTCATTATCATTCCCCACTGACGTCGATGCGGACGAATTTTTCGACGCTTTATGTAAATAGTTGTTTTTGTTTTTTCTTATAATTAATTTTAATCTTTAGTTGTATATAGGTATTTAATTTAGTAATATTTAGTTTTAATTTTTTTAAGTATGTAATAGTTAGTTTTTAATTTAAGTTTTTTATTTGAATAAATGAATTTTTACTTCATTATAAATTCTCTTCATCAACTATAAAAAATGATTTAAAATCGTTATTATTTATACTTTTTAGGTATTGTTCTTTGCAGTATTCGCAATATCTCATGGTTTAATAAACATAAGTATTGTAATAAGAATGAAACTTGCATTGGCCGATGCAAGCATACGAGTGAGTACTTCTGCTACAATTTGCAACGTTTCTGAATTTTTTTTTAATTAATAAGCTTAAACTGGTTTCAACAGGGTTCGATATATATATTTATAACTCAAGTTTGGTTTGTGAAAAACATTGTCCTGATTGCGTACTTGAGTGTTGTATGCGAGAGGTTTTACAAGGCTGTTGAAGAAGTCCATGGAGCATTTGTGATGCTCACAAAGAGGCATGGACGGTCAGGTATTCATATATTGTTTTATTGTTAACTTTTATTCTTCAAATACGTTTTTTTGGTGATAAATCTGTAAACAAGCAGACGAACCATCACCTGATGGCAGGCAATCGGCGCCACCTACGGACACCTGCAACACCAGATGCTTTCTAAGAGAGTTTACGGCCTTTTGGAGATTAGGAATTTGAGGATTGTTGGAGATTCAGGTAACCTTACTCACACGACGAAACACAACGCAAGCGTGGTTTCACGTCGGTTTTTTGTGAGCCCGTTGGTATTGTGGCACAATTAATTACCTACAGTACATGTAGAAATTTACATTTTATTTAGGTTTCGTAATTTACAATTATACCCTTTTACCGGGCTCTTATTCTACCCTCATAGAAAATAAATAATGCTCTTCTTCATAAATGGTCAAACTCTCCTTAATCTTATAAGTTTTTAAATCATAATAAACATAATATAACATAACATCACGCCTTTTATCCCCGAAGGGGTAGGCAGAGGTGCACATTATATTACTGTACAATGTAACACCCACTTTTCACTATTTATGTAATAGGTAGTCCCATGTAATAGGGGGTGAGCCTATTGCCATATACCGGGCACAATTCCAGACTCCATGCTACTACTGAGAATATTTAAAAACCCAGTAATACTTTGCCCGACCCGGGAATCGAACCCGAGACCTCTTGCCCGGCAGTCGCACTTACGACCACTCGGCCAACGAGGCAGTATAAATCATAATATAAAATCACCAATAACATGCAAACTTGTTATAATAACAAGTAATGGATAAATAATCGTCCCGTTCTCCTCAGATACGCAGAAAAGAGCTTGCAAAAATATTGAGCGCATCCAGAGGTCGCGTTTCAAGAAACTGGACGCGTGTGGCGTGTTCACCATTGATGCTAGACTACCCTTGGACCTGATCAGCTTTACTACGACTTACACCGTAGTTTTATTACAGTTTTCCTTATAGACAGAGTATTTGTTCTGATTAATCACTGGGCCCTTATGAAGAGTAAAGATTTCTCACAAGATATATTATTTTTGCCCAAAAATATTTGTGTCAAAGATGGAAAGCTTTCTAGGTCCCTTTGTCTAAATTATCGGACAATTAATTATTACTTAATTTTTTTCAAGTTTCACCCTCCGTTCAAACGCATGATTTACGTGGGGAAAAAACGTTATTTTTAACATTTAAAATGCAAATTTGGAAGTTTTTATTAATTTTTGGGGGCCTTCGTTGGGCCTCGTATAATTGATACGTCAGGTACGGCGCTAGCTACGCCCCTGTGTTTAATGTCTATGGAATCATAAGAGTAAAAGAACAAGATAAAAAGATAATTTGTACACACGGCTATACAATCCAATTAATCATGGTCACGATTTGTATTTTTTTTACCAGCAGACGGATCACCTGATGGTAAGCAATCGGCGTCGCCCATGGACACCTGGAACACCAGAGGCGTTACAAGTGCGTTACCGGCCTTTTGGGGTTTAGGAGTTTGAGGATCGTTGGGGATGCAGGAATGTGGGAGATTGGAGAAGGGAAGGAGGGTAATTAGGCCTCCGGTAACCTCACTCAGACGACAAATTACAACGCAAGCGTTGCTTCACGTCGGTTTTCTGTGAGGCCGTGGTATCACTCCAGTCGAGCAGGCCCATTCGTGCCGAAGCAAGGCTCTCTCACACCTAGTACTTAGTATG